AGAAGCAAAATGGAAAGTTGAGTTTGGCATGGGGGCATTTTACAGCACTCCCTACTAAGAGGTGGTACTGTGGTGAATTTTCACTTGACAGCATGTCTAAATCTGGTCTGCTGCTTCTATCTGCATTGTGGCAACTGAAATTGGATTAGTAGTTTTGTTTTTTTTTTCTTCAAATCAGTTCCTCTTCTTTCTACAACTGTAAACATAGAATACTGGGAGCTGAGAGAAGTTTACCAAAGACTTAATTGTGTACAGTTAACAGGATAATCCAAACTTGCAAGTCATGAATCACAAATGATGCATTCCTTCCTTAATGTGTGATGTTGCCCCATATGTTACTTCCATGCCATTTAGCTGGGGAGCAAGCTTCCAGGAACAGTCTCCCAGAGGCATGTTAATATGCAGGTCTGAAACTGTGTTAGTAGGAGAATTACATTACTGTGACATAAATATCTTGGATAATTGGGGGGGGGATGGGTATGGGGAAAAGAGGTAAATTAGCTGATAGAATTTCTTTTGCACTTGATGTGCATAGCTCTTTGATAACATTAAGGCACAAGAGAAAAAAAGCACCATAAAAACAGCACATAACACCACTTGCCTTTGAACCTTTCTAAACTAAAAATTTTACAGTAATAACGTGTGCAAAGGAAGAAAGAGGCAAGAAGTAGGTGTATTAACTGACTTGGAGAGTGTAGGAAGGCTTGAAATTTATAATGTTCAGCAGATCTTGGCAGTCTACCACGGATTCCCCTTGTCCCCTCTCTTTTCAACATGCATAAAGCCCACTGAGATGAGAAATAAACACCATATTGCTATCAGACATGACTAGGAATGTGCTGAAGTAGTGGATTCAGTTTAAGATGCAGTTAAATGCTGCAGTATTGCTGTGTTGATGAGAAGAACTACAGCTCTATGTAAATGAACTTGCAGTCATCTGCATGAGAAGAAACAGGACAAGATTTGAGGCTAGCAGTCTCAATTCCATTGAATTGCTCATCCCAACAGGCCATTTAAAAATGCAGTGGTACAAGTAGCACTCTTAAAAATATTCTTATGCTGCTTCCTTGGGAGGATAAACCAAGTGCTTTAGTATGAATAGAACCATTAAATGAGGGAGAGAAAAGTGGGGAGAATGTGTAAGAAACAAGAAGTAGTTCAGAAATTTTGGTGAATAAAATCTTTAATGTGGTCTAAATGAAGGGAATGTGTTGGTGGGCTCATTTCCATGGGGACAAGCTGACAGTGCTGATGTTTTCTTGTGGTTCCCATGCTGAAACCCAGTTAGAGGCAAACTCTCACTCCCAGGATGATGTAGCCTTTTCTACCTGTTGCTGCCACTATTTGAAGAAACCTCTGCAGCTTCCTCAGTCCATTGGCTCTGGAGACAGTCACTTTATGCTTAGCAAGATGCTTCCAGTTGTCTTCATTGCATATTTCATATCCACACAACATTCTGGATATGGGGCAGTATCTTGTGATCCTCAGCTTCTGATATTTGGTGTCTAGCAATATTTTAAGAAACTGCTGTTTTCAGTTAGCATGGGTTGCATTTTGTAATATTGCAGAGCTTTTCAGATATCCAGATGGTAATTGCCAACAATTTGCCTGGAGAAACAAAGCTGCAAGAAGCTCTGCCTTGCCATTCGGATGGGGATCCCTGGGATGCCCTGAGGGGCCATGTGTCCACACTGCACTAAAACAGAGGCTTCATTCTACATGAAAAATGTTATCCCAGTGGAGTGGTCTTGTGTGAGATAGAGTGTCTGGATGGAGCCTTGATGTTTACTGAATTTGAAGTGCCCTGTGAGCAGAATTTGAATAGATTTTAATACCAGGAGATTGAGTCCACAGGGTTTCTCCCATCTATGATTTCTGTAGTTTTTTCTTCACATTCAACCACGTTGCAATTTTATTATTACTCTTTTTAACAGAGACAATTTTTTCCAAAGCAAAAGTTGGCTGCGAAAATCTGAAGATCGGTTTCCAAAATGGGAATGCTTAGCCATTTTATGTTTCAAGCAAAATTATACCAGCATGCTAATAGTTTGACAGGTCTGTTCTTGAGCAGAGTTGTTAAGCAGATAAACAAACAAACAAATACTCTGCTCATGCTTGTATGCTATGCTTGAGAAGTTTGTTTTTTCCTGCCCTCTGAAAATATTTTTAATGAAAAGAATGTGGCTTCAGAATATCTTTTTACTTCTCTCATATAAATTAATGTCATGCAGGCCATCCCTCCTCCTCCCCATATGTTGTAGATTTTTAGCATATGAGTGGTCCATACATTACGGAAAGTGTATTTGGAGTAATTTTAAACAATATTCTGAAGTGACCAGGGTTTAAATTTGGTCTGGGATACTGAGCAGACCACACTTCCCACACTCTGCAGTTCCCTTGCTTTCAGTCCCTTAGGAGGGTTATGTAGAAGCTTTTTCCCTCCCAGAAGAAGCGAAGTGAAACATGAGCAGTGTCTGTGTTCTGCTGTAGCTGGCCCCAGTTTTCACAGGGACACTTGTGGAGGCACCAGCAGGATCCCGAGAAGCTGCAGGGGAAGGATGGTAGCGCTGCTGCACATTAGTCATCCCGAGTGGGCCAGTCTCACAGGGAAGAACATTGACTTCAGAAAAGCTGTCAACTTGAGCACTGGGAAATTTTAGGTGTCTCTCTGGAAATAGCAAGCCCACTAGTAGTTAGTAGATTTAAAATGACAAATAGAGCAAAAATTCCATGAAAATGACGTCCTGTCCTGCTACTTCACTCTTCTGCATGCCACATTTTCTGCTTGAGTATATTCTGCCACCATTTTAGCACCTCCACGTAGCTGCAGAGTGAATGGGGAACTGTATTTCACTGCTTTTTAAAAAAAAGTTCCTTTCCTCAGACCTCCTTAGTGTTGTGAGGGTTTCTTCCCTCAGAGATGTCTTTGTTTCTCTGTTATCTTTAGCATGTTCTTTTTGTACCTAAAACGGTACTTCCCATGTCCTTGAGCTTTCAAATTTCTTCAGCAAAGCTGTGGAAAATGGGGCAGAGCTGAGAGCAGACATTTTTCCACCTTGGTGTAAGCCCTTTTCCCCTCCTTCCTTGTGGGATGCTAAGTCTTGAGGAGAAGACCACAGGCCTTTGTCATTTAGGCAGAGGTCCAGGGTGGGAAATTGGAGTTGGAAATCTCCTGGGCTTGCTGAAAGACTTTGGTTCAAGAAGTAGTAAGGTCAAGGTGAGGTCAGCGTTGGCTACTGCACACATGTTAGGACCCCTAACTTTGTTTCAAAATCAAAACCAGCTTGAGACCAAGCTGTAAAAAGAAATGCCTGCGGTAAAGCGAGTTTACAGAGCAAGCAAAAGCCTGAGCACAGTAATATATTTATAGAAAGCACGTGGATTGGTTAGTAAGGGGGAGAGTGAAGCACAAGAAGAGTTGTGGAAGAAAGCTGAGGCAGTGAATTCTGCAGCATTTAATCCTTCTGCATGCACCAGCAGTGCCTGGCCATTACCTTCATGGAGGGCATCCTAAGCTGTGAAAGGGTCAGGATTTCTCTAAAGAGACTAGTGGTCTGGGGTGCTTCAGTTCTGGGGTACCAGTCTCAAAAGACCCTGTAAAGAGATTAACATGTTAGTCCAGGCAAAAAATACACTATTCGTGTCCATCATATAGGTTTCTGCCTAGGAAACTCAGAAATTGGTGAGGAGAGAAATAAAGGAACTGTAACTTCAGTTAAATGTTCCATTGTGTTCTTATCATTATTTGTGATTAAAGTGAAGGAATTTAATGGGCATACCTATTGCTAAAGAGCTTGACTGATACAGATAAGAACCTTTGGTGATGGTGCCTGGGAAAATGCTTGGGAGCCTGGGCTGTTTGACTGGCTTAGGATAGACTGCTGGGTGTTACACTGCTGAGTGTTAAGTGGAGAGCTGGAAAATACCAATATTAGGACCATTTCTAAGTGCCTGTTTAGAAAAAAAGTACACAACGGTTAATTGATGTCTCTACCTCATGTAAACATACACTGGAGAGAAAAAGGCTTTTGTTAGAAGTCAGCTGAGGCGAGTTACAGCCCACCAGGGCTGCAAGGGCCTGCCATGCCACTTGCCTCCCAGCCCTGTGATCTGCATCCTGCTGGCTCCAGCTCTGTTTCCACTGTAGAACAAACCAGTTTAATTTCCTGGACTGCAATCCCGTGCCCCACCCCGCAGTTTGCTTTTTCTGTGTTAACTTTCTGCCATTTTAGTGATCTCAATCAGCTTATCATATGATACAATGAGTGCCAGAAGGAGCTCAGTGCTCCTGGGAGAAATATGTGACAGGAGGCTGGAAGGAGGCAGAGGAAGGAAGGGTAGGAGCTCCCCGCTGCAGGAGCTGGGATCTATTAACTCAGCTCCAGCTGTACTGAGAAGCTGTTCCCTTACTGCGGTGTAGCTGAAGGGAGATGAGTCTTGTTCTTGTCTAGCCACTGTGAGACAAGCAAAGAGACAAAAGAGAGCTCTTGCAGGTCTGATGCAACGTTCACTTTTTGTACTTTGGAAGACTAAACCAGTGAGAAATGTCCTAAGCCCTAAGCATGGGCTTAACCATGCTTACTAGGTAAAGCATGTAATAAATCACCTAGCTACTAGGCATTGGTTCATACAAATAAAATATGCAACATGTGGAATTTATTCTGACATGTTAATAAACTGTCATTACTGACAACGAGCTTTGCTAAAGTAAACAGAAGGGAAGCTGTGAATATAACCTGTATAACTTGATAATCATTATTTTGATGTGGAGAAAAAGAAATGGATACTAAAATTTGAAGAGGAATGCTTTAAATTTGTTATTGTTGTTGTTCTTTTAGTCATGTAGGGTATTTGTAATATTTCCTAGGAAGTATCAGAAAGGTCCAGCATAGCTGGGGAAAACCCAGTGACTGGAACTCTTGTTCAAGTGTTTTGCTCTGTGTAAGCTGAAGGGATGGGTAAGGTGCTGGTGCTGACTGTTCTCTCACTCTTTTTCTCAGGGTCGCCATGTCAAAACGGGTCAGCTGGCAGCCATCAAAGTCATGGATGTTACTGAGGTGAGTAGAGGAACCTTCTGCTTTATTAGGAACATGTAAAATTTAATCATGAGATGGTATAAGGCTTACCTCATATTTCTGTTGAAATGCATGATCCTTGCATGTGAATGTTTGCTCTCTGCTTGCAGGACCTGACCTCTCCAGTCTGTCTGCCTGAGATTTCTGTGTGCCTGTGTGCTGGGGCATTTGGCCTTCTCAAATTGCACTGTCCAGTCCCAGGGCATATTGGGTGCATGTAGCACTCTCTTTTCAGAAATTTCTTAGAAGAGGGAGAAAAAGTTCAGATTGCTTGCTTCCCACTTTTTTCTCTGAAATGTGTCATCTTGCTTTTGCCAAAAAAGAAGGTGAGGTGTCTGCATGATATAGAGGACAATGTTCTCCCTGGTACATCTGCAGCCTACAAAGGATATATGTTTATTCAAAGAAATGAATCCAATACAGTTCCAAGAAGCCTAAAAGCAGAAACATCTGCAGGAATGATGAGCAGACTGCTAACAGAATTCTGCAATGTAAAGTAGTTGTAGTAACTGACCCATGGGGATTTACTGTGGAGCTTTAGATGGGAAAGAGGAGAAATTAACCCAGTCTAAGAAATAAAAAATATATGCCTATATTTGAATCCTTGGGTGTCTTGCAGTTTATGCTGTTCAAAAAGCAATCAGTTTAAATTGAGTCTTCAAAACAGATGAAGAAAAGCATAGGCTTCTCCCTGTTACTCCATTTGTGTTATATAGAGTTCCACTCACAAATTAACAGCTTCAAATTTAAAATTGAATGAGATCCTCCCATGTGATACTGGCAAAGCTTGATTGATACCACTCTTCTGTAGAGAGGATGTGCCTTTTCAAACTGTCATATTCTTCTGAGCTTCTCAGCCTTACACGGGGAATAATTACATTAATGCATGTACATTGTACAGAACAGGGGGTCTTTGGCCAAGATGGTTACAGCAAGCAAAACCTCTGTGAAGATACTGCTGCAGAATATTTTATAGCTTAGTGTGTGTATAGGTGCAACAAGTAAAAATGGCCTTGGACACAAGGTCCTAGATGAGTGGTGGGGTGTAATGGATAAACAGGCAGGAGAGGAGGAAAACAAGAGGCAGGGTTAGGTCTACTGATACGACTTAGTCTTATGTCTGAATCTCTAGTGATGGATGGGCAGTGTGACTGCTACTCTCTAAATTCAGCTGTTGTGTCTGCCAACAGCAAGATATTCCTTTTTTGTCAGATGGCTTGATAAAGATCAGTTTTCAGCTGAAGTTTTTCAAAGGCTGCCTTCATGAGGAGGCAACGTTTTTTTTGCTGCTGTTAAAAAGCAGAGAAACCAGAGAAGAATGAAGGTACATCGACACACAGTGAATGTTCTTTGCACAGCAAATGTTTTCCTTTGTGCAGCAGTTTTACATAGGGCAGCTTGCTGGACTGTGCATGACAGTGGTTTCTTCCATAATACTAAGATTGGCTCTGCTGCACACTCCCTCTGTTTTTAATAGCATGTATTAATCACAAACAGTTGTAAAACAGACGTTGCACAGAAAAAGGAAAAAAGTTGAAAAATGGTGTCTATAGTTATGGCTAAGCTCATATTGCAGGAGATAGCTTAAGTTTTGAAACTTACTGTAATTTTTGTCTGGTTTTGAAAAGCAAGTTGCATATTGCCACTGCCTTTTATCTCATAAGTGCAATGCTTTTTTAGGGGATGAAGGGTAGTCAGAGGGAGGAGTTTGGAGATGTTAGCCCCATGCAGCTTAAAAGCATTGTCATTCCTACCAGTGGAGCTCATGTGTTTTTGCTTCAAAGCAAAGAGCTCACAGAAACTAAAAATGTGTAAATTCTTCTAAGTTGTACTAAGCCAGCTCCACTTTTTAACAGCAGGCATGGGTGATACTCTTGCACGTACCATTTTCTCAGTGGCAGATGTGGCTGTAGGATGTTCTTGTCCAGCCTTGCTTGCTGGTTCCTTGCCCATTTCCCAACACTTGTGCCAACACAGCTGCCTTGGGGCCAGATGGTGACCTGGATCAGTGAATGGACTCTGGTTCCAGTTTTAAAATACCCTTACTCCTCTCCTTCCCCTGGTTATTTATAACCTGGATTGGTTCATTGATTGAGTTCAGTGCATGATGCAAACTGTTGTCTGGTTGCTGTGAAGAAGGTGGCACGAGACTGGAAAAGAGCCATTGCTGGCCATCAGGGAGACAGGGCAGTAGTTCAAATTGATATTTTTGCTGGAGATATCCTCAAGCCATAGCTTCCATTCCTCAAGGGTTTGTTTCGTGAGCACCTCCTTTGCTAGCAAACAGTGCAGGTCCATCCTGATTTTAGCTTGGCACAACAGTGGGAGGAGACAACATGGGGACAGAGGGAGACAGTGACTGCCACCTTTAGCACCGATCCAAAAGAAATGCTGAGGGAGCCACAGCCACAAATTTACCTTCTCTGCCTGCTTTAAAAGCTACAGTTAGATGAACTGCTAATAGTAATGTCTATGGAGAAAGAGGCTTGAGTGGAAACTTTCACAAAACTGAAATTGTGGTTTTCTGATGAGTGGTTGCTTGAAGCTCTAGGTGATTTGTGCCTATGTGAGTATTTTATTGGCAGCCTTATGCCTTTCTGCTTAAATGTGAGTGGTGCCATGGGGAATATCTGATTATTCTGACTAACCTGAATTGAGAACAGACGCAAGACTTCCTTTCTTCTGGGATACCTCTGATCCAGTGCTTGCTTTGCCAAATGTTTAACAAATTAGAAAACCTAATGTATTGGCATGCTCTGTGGGCACACCCCAGATTTTGAGTTTTCAAGGCCATGATTCTGCAATTCACACATTGCTCAGGATCAGCGAAGTTATGTCCGTTCTGGGCTGTAAAGCTTTGATCACCCAAACCAGGAGGGATGTCAAAGTGAGAGTGAAGGCTTTCCTTAAAAAGTTTTGGTTGGCATGAAGAAAATGAAGTAGTATAACCTCTGGCTAGAGGCATTGGAAGAAATATTAGAACTTTGTAGTGCACATGGCACTGTGGAAATGCTCTTCATCCTTCTCATCTTTTCTTGTGGTTTTCTCTTTAGATTTTAATTTTGAAAAGAATGGTGGCAAGGATGAGAAAATAGGAGGTGGGCTGAAGCCTATCAGCTTGATCTTTGAATAAATTATAACTAGTTAGTTCTGCTGCCTGAAACACTGGGGGATGTTGATGTGCATAAAACTTCCCTACCTCTTCTACTTTCCTCCTTTCTAAACAAATAAGGAAAATACTTAGAAGATTGAATCTTTACTGATCTTTAGATCTACAGCACTAAAGCAAGTACTAATGGAACTATAAGACCTAAAGATCTATAGGTTTTGCTACAGATTGGTGCAGAGTTAGATCTTCTTCTTACTTTCAGAGGGCAAAGCTGCAGTGCATGTAGGCTGAAAAAATTTCACTGGAGCATAGAACAAATAAAACCAAAAAAGCCACCAGTTTTCATCAATGGAAAGCTATTCTTATTCCTTGTTGGAATGAGCCCAATGACCATAAAAGGGGAAGAGCGCAAACTATCAGTGTATCCGCACTTTAAAAATTGTTTTACAAAATCTACACATGTAGAATTGATTCTCATGCTGCATGCTTGTTGTGAGGGAGGCATTATATGTAGTCTGTAATTCATCTTTCTATTGTAAAGTTTCTGTTCCTTTTGTGACATTGGTTTGGAGAAGGTGGTATTCAGGCCATGTTGATCCCTTCCACTCACTGACCGTACTGTAAGGTTTCCATGACTGTAAGATTGCCATGACTCCTAAGATTTAGCAGTCCCTGTTTAGTTAGAAGAATCTGTTTTCTTGTGAAGCAAACAGCATTGAAAACCTTAGCAAAGCTTACTTGGCAAACCTGCCTGTATCCAAGCTGTTAACTTGCATTACACCCTGAAGCTTGACTCTGCTTTAACTGCTTTGGAGCCTCTCCTTGCAGCTGCACTGTTGTTTCCAGTATCGCTCCTGTGTTCCGCTTCCAGCGATGCTTTTCTCTTTGAAAAGTTTAGTAACTGATTTTGAGGAAAAAACACAATTGCTTCTCTTCTGTTTGTTATAACCCCTGACGCTGCTGCTTCTTCCTCCTACCTCTTCCCACACACACTCTTGGCATCCCTTGGGAAAGTTTTCTGCATGCCTTTTTTAATAGCAGCGTTTCTCAGCTCTTGTGCCCAGTGTTTCATGACTTGTCCAATCTAGTCTGTGTAAAATTATGCTAAGTAAACAACTGGATACTGTATCCTGCTGATTTATGAAAGAAGTTGGATTGCTTTTAGTGCTTGCCTGTCTTGCTGTTTCTGTGTGTCCTCTGCAGAAAAATTAACAACCTCAGACCAAAGCCTCCAGGCCTGCAGGGAAACATGGCACATCTCTCATACCTAGACAGGAAAGGTTCCCTGGGTTACTGACTGCCATCTTCATTACTCTGCTGACTGCTTATTTCTGGTGCAATAGGAAAGTCACTTTGATTGTTAGGAGTCTGTATCTTGGCCTACACAGTGGTATGAACTACAGTCATGTGGATAATTTGTCCATTTTGCATAAGACATCTCAAAGCAGTCTGCAGAAAAACTGCAGATAAATAAAAATGTGGGCTTCCACATAAATTGGCAGACAAAGTGAGGGAAAAATGAACTAATAAGCCAGACCAAAAGTTTGCCCTATTATGTATGTTCTTGTTTTCCCCATGGAAACTCGAAGACAATCCATGGATTTTGATCTGTTTGAAGGGGAAAAAAAAACGTTGATGGCTCACTGTGGAAGATTGGGAAATACAGATCCTTGTGGCCCTGTGCAACAGAACTGGGTCAAACCAGCCTGGAGAAGCTGAATAGAGGTCATTCTTTTAGTGTAGAGATATGAATGCAGTGCTTTACCTGGCTTTATCTGGCTTAGTGCAGCTGCCTGATAAAGTATTTATGTACCAGTCCATGGCTGTACTTACTGTGAAGTTAGCCAAAGCAAACCTAAAGTCAGAGCTGGTA